TAGAATTAAAGAAATATAGTGAAAGTAACAGATAAATTGATAATTAAGAAAAATGTGCAAAATTAAACTTTGATTAAAAGTTTCCTAAGAAATTTATTAAACTATAGAAAGATATGCATATGTGCGCGTAGTAATGTTTCAAGTTGTGTTTTATCATTTAATAGCTCGAACTATAATTAATTTCACTACATATGAAATTATTATATCGATCTGTGCATAATTTTTTTATTCCATTAAAAAGTGATTTAAATTAATATGTTATATAACATTATTTTAATTTTTAATATTTGATAGAATATATATATATATAAATGATCATATCTTCATAAATCATATATTTATTGTTAATTCAATTAACACGATCACTCACAGATTGAGTGATACTTTTAATCTATCGATACTGCTCTCATCAGGTCTTGTCTTGTTGAATTTAAGATCTCAATAACGCCGATTGATTTTGATTGATTCGAAATTTAAGCAATTACACGTTTACAGCGTAATTAGATCAAGAAGGGGCAATGATCGATTACTGATTATTTAGAATCAACCGACGTTGATGAAAACGAATTAGCGAAGATATTTTTCGGATTTTTGCATTGTTTGGATGTGAAGAGCGATGATTAATTCTGCAGTAGAGATAATACGTGATAAAGTGAATGTGCCCTTTTCTCGTGTAATCAAGCACAAAGGAAAAATCCCTTTATGAACGTAGCAGTAGGCCTCTAGCCATGCGTCCGGCAAAGAAATCCAGCTGCTTTCGAGAACATCGCTGCAAAAAACTCTAATCTTATCTCGCTGGCCGTACAAAAAGATTCGCTTTCGCAATACAATTTTCGCTATACGAAAATCAGTATCTATTATCGTTAAAGCTTTCATCATTTTTCGGACTGCATTATATCACCTTGGCAATTTTCAAACGGCTAGCGAAGGAAAATCGAATTGCGAAGTCCGATGTGTCGAATGCAGTTAGAAATCGCCGGATTGCGCCACGAAAAGCAAAAAGGTAAAATAAAAACGTGTTTATTCTCTCGACCAACGAGACTCGAAGCGGCGGCTCGTGTCAGGAAGAGCAACTTCCGGCCTCGGAGTCATAGTTTTATATCGTCGCGATTGGTACGCGAATTCGAAAGATATCTGAAAGATATCCAAACAGCATGTAAGAATTTAGATTGCCTAAAAAAAGAAGTAAGGCGTCTGAAAAGTTGGGACATTGAAAAAATAATATATATTTGCAGGATCGAAGCATTTAAGAAATATTAAAAAAAATTAGGATATACGCGCTTATCTAAAAGATTAAAAGATTAGATCGTCTGAAAAATTATGATGACTTGTAATAAGTATTTTGGACAATTGTGCTATTTAACAAGATTGATTTCTCGGCGAAAAGTCCCAATTTGGCAAGATGCGACCTCCACTTCTTCCGACGCGAATCGCCAGCTTCTACTCGTTCTGCACTCAAGAAACATCGACGATGTAAGAATAACGACTCTCGATATTCACACATTTATCCACAAAAGCGAAAAAAAATAAGAGGAAAAAGGAGAAAAATCAAGCGTTCACTGTACAATTATATTCTTTTACGTTATAACGACTTACAATTGAGTAGTCGAGTAGCATATTTTGCATTACCGATAACAACAGTAGCGTGTCACTTGTCTTAACCCCTAATTTTATATATCATTGGAGATAAGTAATCCGCAAGAATAAAGATTATAATCAGCACTACAGTGAAGTTACTATACATCTGTAGATAAGCGGTCCGCAAGGAGAATTCAAAAAACCGACACGATGTTCAATGTATTTAATGATCTTCTTCGAAGGGTGAAGAATATATGAATATATGGGGAATAAAAGAAAAGAGGGAGCGACTAAGTTTCTTGGGTCCTCTCAGCATCTCCTCTAATCCTTTTCTACAAATGCAAGATGCATCATGAGGGTCAAAAGTGACTTTCTTCGATTTGTGTACTCATATGTGATTTATTGTAATATCTTGTACAGACATAATTACAAGCTACATAGGAAACGATCTCGCTCTTTATACCGAATAATTTTGGAAATTACAAATAAATTAATCTCGAACAAAACATTATACGTAATAAAGAAATAAACGATAACTAGATACGTTTGATAAATAATATGTACAAAATATAAACACAAATCGTAAGTCTTGTAGGGGATATCATTCCCTATTCGTATTATATATACACATTCGTTTACATAGTAGGGCAAAGTTCGGAATCAACTGGATCTGTCACTACGCTCGATCGACTCAACAGCCCATCTTCAAATTGACCATCTTTTGCAGTTTTTTCTGGGCCGCGAAGAGCCCTTTTTCGTATAAAACGGCTCACAATTGTTGGGTTCACGTAAGACATGGTTAATCTGCATCCCCAGGATAAAAGCGCCAAAGGCTGTACAAACAGGACAACAATTATCAGAGGTATTGGAATATTTTCTATTTAAACTTTTAAAAACAGTTAATGTAACAGAAGTATTAGCAATAATTCAAATCATTTAAATATAGATAAGTTTGAAAGTTAAAAAAACTTGGAAAAATTTTTTTGTTAAATAAATTATTAATATAAATTTATACTTACTCGTTCCTCATCAAGGTAACTGTATGGTGTGATGATATGCCGCCAGAGGCATTTGTTAACGAGGTTTCTTAATCGGTCTACTTCCAGTGGATTGGCGCATGGGTGATATAACATTACGATTGCTCCATGCTAACAATAAGATAACAAATGCAAATAATAGTCTAATATCAAATCTGATGATACTTTATGTTGCTTGATTACCTCGAGACTATGCAACCATCTTTGTTTGGGCACAAATTTGTATTCTCCGTAAACTGGCCATAAAGGTCTATGTGGACCACTGCAAATTGCACATAAATATTGTTAGGAATTGCTTATAAATGCTAAGAGAGTATCACATTACTACTTACTAAAGAGGGATATCGTCATCATACTCAATTTTTTGATTCATACATTTATGAGCAGCCTGAAAAAATACGTTGATCAAAATTAGATTAGGAAATATCAATATTTAAAAATAACAATATGAAATATTTTTACCTGATATGCCTTTGGAATTTTCTCACAGTAAAGTATCGGTGTAATCTTACTTGGTATGATATTATGACCATAGCATGTATATTCAGATGGAGTATGATTCCAATCAACAGTTAAATTAGTCTGAAATTTTATTACTATTAAAAAATGCAATACTCAGATTATAAAAATATTTAAATAAATATTTAAATGTTTAAATGAAAATATTTAAGTGTTTTCTTTTGTATTAAAATAATCTGTAATATAGATTACAACAACCTTAGCATCATCACAATCTGGTGAAACATGACCCATATGTATGTGAGAAGGTTCCGTCATAGATTCGTATTCATGTTGTTGTTGATTCTTTGGCAATACTTTGGGTGGTGGTGTTGGATCGCCTAATCTATCAGGCATCCAACGTCCAGTCCAATGCATATCGACAGGTAGATCTGTCACAGATTCATATTGGTACTGTTGCTGGCTTATTGGCAATACTTTGGGAGATGGCTTTGGATCACCCAATCTGTCAGGCATCCAACGTCCGTTCCAATTTTCATCTTGAATATTCCTATTATTTTCCCTGTTATACTCGTCACTGCGTAACAAACGCAGCAACTTTTCAACATAATACTCATTCTGTTGCTCCGTGTCGTAATCTGTGGTAATTATGACAAAGGAATTAATCCATATAATTGCTTGCAAGATAAATAGAAGTTAATACAATTTCTTAGAAACATAAAAAAGCTAGATAACTTAATAGAGTTTTGCTTGGGTTAATCAAAAAATATATTTATCAGCATATTCCTCTTATCGAAAAAATATATTTCAAACAAATTTCTAATAAAAAAAATTCAAATGATTCAATTTCTCGATGAAAAAAACTTATTTCTGAAACAGAGTTCATCAAAAATATGCATGTTGATGGAAAAATAGAAAAAAATATCGAATATCACAATTTTTAGGTTAGAAACACTAATCAAAAACGTGAAGACAAATCGTTTTGTGATACCCTTGTATCTGTAGGTGTCCACAAAACTCGCCGTCGCAAAGGCGCAAACCAGGAAGCCGAAGATCAATCGAGTCATCGTGTTCCAAGTTAAGAATGTGGCAAAGATACTAAACACCAAGCGTCCTATCGCAATATGTCATTTGACATTTGCCATGCGCGAGAGAAATACATATGAGATTTGTTCTTCAAAGAGCTGAACTCTGCACCTTTAGTCTTTTCTCTTTTTCTCCTCAATGTCAATTACATGTCTATCTCATTTTAACGTTTATTCCTATCAGTATATTAACCTTTAATCTCATTTTAATTTATTTTTTATCCATTTTTAGAAGTAAAAAAAGATAAATCGAGATTTAAGTTAATTTAAATTGATAGAAATGGACATAAGTGCAGAAAATATTTATATATTACGAGAAACAGACAGACTCGAGTCTGTCGAAGAACAATATTGTCCTTTATACGATTATTTGCACTATTTTTGCATTTTTTCCTTTTTTTCTTTAATGTGTAATTTTATATATCTATTTTATCTTAGATGTAGACAGAATAACACAGTGCAATTATAAAGAATAAGCTCACTAAGATAATTTATTTTTTGTAGCACTAATGATAATTTCTTAAGATAACACAATGGATGCAATTAGATGTCGGAAAAAAGAAAGATATAAAACTTGAACTATTAATCTATAAAAAAACAAACTTTTAATTTATGACAATGTATTATAATCTCCTAATTGATGATTTTTCTGAGACATTTTAAGTTTTGAGAGAAAAATATAAGAAACACAAATTTCTTTTATTAATTATAATTATAATAATTATTAATTACGATTATTATTAATTAAATTACATCACATAATTTTTAAATTTTTGATTGATATAAATGTTGAATTGTAAAAATAATAAGAAACGAAAATAATTGTAAAATTTTGATCGAATGATACAATGAACGGTACATGTACATACATAAATGTCAAATTTTAACTGAAAAAAATTAAAATTTTGTGATAAAAGATTAAAGTTATTTACAGTTGTTG